GCCGAGCAGGGAGCCCGATGCGGGACTCGATCCCGGGACTCCAGGATCATGATCTGAGCCGAAGGCAGTCGCTTAACCAACTGAGCCACCCAGGCGCCCCGAGGAAAAAAATATTTTAATGATGATTTCTCGTGGTAACTAGAGTTCTTGTTCAAGGAGTCTATAAAATAGTGATGTGAAGGCTTAAGTGACAGTACTATAGAACCACTTCTAATTTTTTTTATATTTGCTGAATTAAACTAATCTTGAACAGATGCAGTAATGTAAAACACTTGGACATCTTCCATTAACACATACATTTTCCCTGCTTGTCTTAGAACTTCCATTTAGTAAAATAAGTTTAACTATGACAAGCTCATGCAGACTCTTAACGGTTTTTTCTTTTTGCCATGGTAGTGATTTGATTTGTTAGATTTGGGCACACCTAAGTATTAGAAAACATTGCTTTTAAATACATCACTAATATATTAGGAGATTATAAATCAAATGCATGTATTTAACCAGAAAATAAGAAAAGGAATTAGTTTCATCTGCTGGATTGTATGAGTAAAAGGTTAGAATCTGAAATATGTGTTAATTAAACTCCAAGGAAAGGATGAAGTCAAACATTAACCTAATGAAAAATTTTTGCTAGTGAAAATATGGAAACCTGAAAAATGGCAATGTTTGTTTGCTTTACCTTTACTTAAATACTTCACATTGCTTAAATATTAGATATTAAAAAGCCAGACAATCATGGGTTCCTTTGTACCTCAACTGACAGGATGTCTTAAGGTATGTTCAACCTTTGTTTTTGTTTTGATTATTTATTTATTTATTTGACAGAGAGATCACAAGTAGGTAGGCAGGCAGGCAGAGGGAGAGGGAGAAGGAGAAGCAGGCTCCCCGCTGAGCTCAGAGTCCGATGTGGGGCTCCATCCCAGGACCTCGGATCATGACCTGAGCCAAAGGCAGATGAGCCACCCAGGCACCCCTCAACCTTTGTTTTGCTTACCTTTGTGGCATGTAGCCTAATTAACAAGATGATAGTAAAAGATACATTTTTTATTTTTAATTTGATAAGATAAAGGTTTTTGAGTCTCTGCTTTGCTAACCCAAGCTGTTACCTGAAGCTTTTGTCAAAAGCAGAGGGAAGTATATGACATATGTGTGTAGTTTGCTTCTATATAATTTGATTGGCCTGTTTGTAAATTGAATCATTACTTAAGAATTATCCCTTCCATGGGTGCCTGGGTGGCTCAGTTGGTTGAACATCTGACTCTTGATCTCAGCTCAGGTCTTGATCTCAGGATTGTGAGTTCAAGCCCCATGTTGGGCTCCATGCTGGGTGTGGAGCCTACTTTTAAAAAAAAATCCCTTCCAATAGATAATAAGATACAATTGAATATGATAGTTTCTAATATTCCCTTAGATGTACTAATATACCAAAGGAAAAAAAATATTTACCTAACACTCTTCTAAGGAATTATGATACTAAAGGTGTGAAGATGGTTATTTTCTTAGTCTATTTCAAAACACCAACATTTTTATTTGGAATGATTATTGGGAAGAGCAAAATGAATGACTTCTTTTATCCAAGAACTTGAAGCATACCTGGAATTTACCAGTGCACATGCCCATTTTAGAATTTTGTTTCTTAAAATAATCCACTAATGTTTTAAACATTTTCAACATTTGGTCCCTCTTTCTGCTAAAGGACAGTTAAATCCTAATTTGGCATAGGATCCCTTTGGGCTGAAATCTGCATGGAGCCAATAGCAATTAAACAGTTCTTTAATGTTTCTCCCCCACCCCTTTACAACACCTAGCAAGACACCAAACTCTTTTTTTTTTTTTAAAGATTTTGTTTATTTATTTGACCGAGACACAGCGAGAGAGGGAACACAAGCAGGGGGAGTGGGAGAGGGAGAAGCAGGCTTCCCACCGAGCAGGGATCCCGATGCGGGGCTCGATCCCAGGACCCGGGGGTCATGACCTGAGCTGAAGGCAGACGCTTAACGACTGAGCCACCCAGGTGCCCCACGCTTTTGCTATTCTTAATGTTTATATACATTAAGAAGTCTCCCCTGGTGTACCCCATAGGAAACCATTTTTATTAATTCTTGAATATCCTTTCAGTATTTCTTCATGCAAGTATAAATACATATCCTTATCCTCCCCTTATACAGAAGGTAGCTTTCAGAAGGTAACATTAATATACCATTATACAGCATACTACTATATGTACTCTTCAATAGGCAATATATCCTAGTCTGTGTGCCGCCCTCCCTCCCTCCCTTTCTCTTTCTCCCCCCTTCTTCTCTCCCCCTTCTCTTCCTTTACCTTCCCCCCTCCTACCCTCCCTCCCTTATTAACAGCCTTTTGGTATTTTATTGAGTGGATTTATCAGAGTTTGATGGTGGTTTCTGGTTTTCTGCTTTGTATAGTTCAATGGGTCAGTCAGTAACCTTGCTACCACATACCTTATTTTGTACTTGTGTAAATTTATCTGTAGGATAAATTCCAAAAATGTATGAAGTGTTGCTTAATTATCAACAGAATTTTGTTTTTCATTTCTCTGCAGTTTTGGGAATATGATTTATAAGGAGAAGCGAGAATCTGTTAGTAAAGAAGATCTAGCAAGAGCTACTTTAGTTACTATCACCAATAACATTGGTTCTGTGGCACGAATGTGTGCTGTTAATGAGGTAAAAAAAATTAACTATTTGAAAAATGTGGATTGGAGCTTTATGTACATGTAGCAGGGCTTCTTTGTGTTCCTTAGAGACCTGTAGGATTGAGAGATATCTCCTCCATTAAATCCCAAGGCTCATTAGCTGTATATGCCATGTGTACCTAATTGTTATGTTACCTTTAAGGAAAGTAGCAGATAATTCAAGTTGGAAATAGAACAAAGAGATACTTATATTTCAAATTTATCTAGAAACTTTTCCAGAAATACACAACCTAAATTTCTTGAAGATAGAAAATTCTTTCCAAACGTAGGACGTTTTTGAAGTAACTAATTATTGAAAGGGGTATTTTTTGCTGTTAATGTTGCATTTGATTAGCGAGGTGCTTAGAAGTTTTCTTACTGCCTTCGGCTTCTTTACAGTGCTGCCTTGTTGCATATGGATCAAGCAGCATTGTACAGGGCTATGAAGGCATTGAGACTTGTTCTTCACCTGAACTTTGAATGATGTATACTTACAAAAAGCATATACTCCTATATTTACCCTCATTGTTGGGTTATTTTTATTTGAAGGGGATTATATATACAATTCTGCCTTCATGTAATAGATGTATTTCCCACTTAATTTTTGTAAATATCAAATACTTTAAATGAAGTGGGAATTTTACTTTTTGAGGGAATCCTGCATTTGTTCATTCATTTATTCATGAAGTATTTACAGAGTACCATGTGCCAGGCATTGTTCTAGGCACTTGGGATACATTAGTGAAAAAAACAAAGATCCCTGACTTTATGCAACTTCATCCATTCTAGTGATTTAATAAATTTTTAGTATGTATTTGGTGATAAATGCAATTTTAAAAAAAAAAATCAAACAAGATGAAGAGAATTGAGAGTAGACCAGCAGAAGACAAATGGTTGAGTAATTGGGTTGTTGAAGGAAGGCTTTATTGAAAATGTAATCCTTGGATAAATATTGAAAGGAGGTGAGATAATCAGCATGCAGATATTTGGGGAAAGAGAAGCTCCAGCAGAGAACAACTGTGAAAAGACCCAAATTAATTATTTGAATTATTCTGTTTAAATCCAGAATTCTAAGTTTCTCAATAACAGCATAGTAAGTTGGTTGAGAGAGCCACTAACAGATGTTCTAACCCAGGTTTAGGGAATATTTCACACTGGGGGGCTGACAATAATCTGGGACCTTTTTTCTTAGCCCTATAGATCTAGATTTTCACTGGCCACTTGACTTAACAGTAACTAAGGCCATAGTTTACACTACCCAAACTCAGTGTGCAAAAATGTATACTCAAAGTTCAGTATATTATTGTGAGAGTAGAAAGGTTTTCTGGAGACTGAAACACCAGTTCCTCCATATAAGACTTCCTTCAAGGTATATATGGAACCAAATTAGTGAGTGGAATCTTGGAGAGTGACTTGATAGGGTAGGCTGGGGCCGGAGATGCTGGAAGCCTCAAGTTTACAGTGTTTTAATCCTAAACCCATTTAAAATACTCTTCCTTGGTTTGTCTCCTTTGATCTCAATACTGTTTCTCCAAATTACTTTCTTAATAGATTATTTACTGGCCATTTTCAAAAACAAGTCTCACCTAAAATCATTTACTAAAGTCTTTCCAGAACTTTTTTTAAAAATAGACTATATTTTTTAGAGAAGTTTTAGGTTCACAGCAAAATTGAATAGAAAATACAGAGTTCCCATATATACACTTGAACCCCACACCTACACAGCTTCCCCCACTGTCAACATCCAGAACCAGATTGGTACCTTTGTTAGTCACTGAACTTGCAGTGACACATCACTATCACCCAAAGCCCATAGTTTACATTTGGGCTCACTCTTGTGTACATTCTTTGGGTTTTCACAAATGTGTAGTGTCATATCCTGAACTAAATTTTAAATATTCAGGATTGTGGAGATATATGTACTAGGAATGTAATAGACACTAAAAAATAGGGTAGTAGTTGTTTACATTTTTAAGTAGAGATTTTCTAAACCCTACTGTATTGTAAATTCTACTTGATAATTCTTACTTCAACTTATTTTCTTTGTTCTTTTCTTTTAGAAAATAAACCGAGTTGTCTTTGTTGGGAACTTTTTACGTGTCAATACTCTCTCAATGAAACTTTTGGCATATGCACTGGATTATTGGTCAAAAGGTCAACTGAAAGCATTGTTTCTAGAGCATGAGGTATGATAGGAAAGTAATGCTTTGCAAATTTTAATAGCATGCTTTTATATACAGATTCATACATTGCTTCTTACTGTGTACTCTTAAGTATAAAACTGTTTTACCTAAATAGTATATTGAGTCCCCCATTTCAATTTGAGTTGGGGGGATAGGCGTTAACTATAACCTGGTAGGCACCCCATTAAGATGGAGTTTCCCATTTCCTCTGACCAAGAGAGAGAGGGATATTAGGTCTTGTGAGCTCCTTAAATATTGGGGCTGCTTGTGTACTTAAATTGTATTTTTTTTGTTTTTTTTTCTCCCCTGAGATAACAAATCTTAAATGTGAACACCACAAAAATAAATAATTTAGCAATGAAAATTCTTCTGAATCCTCCCACCACAACCTCATCCCCCACATCCACAGGGACCACTGTTAAAATTTTGAAGATTCTTCTTCAAGATTTTTTTCCTATTCATTCACTACATCCAGTTACTCTGATCTGAAATTATCAGTTCATACAATGTTTTGGATTAAGTAAATTTACCTTGAATTGTTTTGTTTCTAGTCAAATGGACATAATAATTTAATAACACAGATTCAGAGTATTCTCTTGCGTTTGTTTCGCTGTCACTGCTCTCACTGTGGTGTACTGCTATGCAGGCTCCACATGGCGTGCTGTGTGCGGGGAGAGTGGCAGGTGGAACAAAAGGACTTGTATTGAGGAAAGAGGAGAGGGGCTCAGAATTGTAGTAACAGCCCTAGAAGCTTTTCAGTGTCTACAAGCCACACTTTAAAAAATGTGTATTTCAGAGTGCCTGGGATGCTGAGTTGGTTAAGCGACTGCCTTCGGCTCAGGTCATGATCCTGGAGTCCCAGGATCGAGTCCCCCATCAGGCTCCCTGCTCAACAGGGAGTCTGCTTCTCCCTCTGACCCTCACCCCTCATTCTCTTTCTCTCTCTTTTTCTCTCTCAAATAAATAAAATTTAAAAAAAAATAAATGTATTTCATATTTTTCAAATATTAGCTGACAACACAGAAGTTGGTAGGTTTCTGAATAAAAGTTCTTAAATAGATTATACATAAGTATCTGTTCCTAATAGTTAATATTGTATGCTAATTTAAAAGCTGAACTGCATTAATAATTGTTTTAAAATTACACAGGGATACTTTGGAGCAGTTGGTGCACTTCTTGGGCTGCCAAATTTCAGCTAAAAAGCATCAGGTTTTTCTCTGCTAATAAATGTCATCCATGAGGAACTGAAAACCAGAGGCATTATTACTGCATTATTGTCACTGGGAACCAAAGGATAACAGAGTAGCACTATTCCTGTTGATTTTTAAATGTCACAGTGGTAAGCTGCTAAAAGTTGCCATATTAAAAGAGGGAGCTCGGTAACATGTGAAGTATTTCTAATTGAAATGCTTTCCCTTCTGTATATATCCAGTGTTAAATCCTTAAAATGCAATACAGCCTCTGATTATTGAGCTTCCTCTCAGAAGATTTTCTATTTATTTTATGTAGCCAACTCTTGCAGTACTGTATGCTCAAACACAAATCTTAAAGTCTCTGAAATGTTAAGCTCCTGAAGATAATTGGATCTGGATATTTGTTGCAAGTGCGTTCTGTGTGTCTTGGTTACTAGTAAGTGGGCAGTAACATACCCTATATCAAACTTACTGAAATGGCTATCAAAGATGATCGTTTTGATGTGATTTTAGAAATGTTAAGGCAATATGAATTATTCATGATTGTAGTTTTCTCAGCATTTCTCCCACCAAAAAAGCATGTTTATATGATCTTTTCCCAGAAGTACAAGCTTTTTCAAATGCCATAATTTGTTTGAAATACTATTGTTAAATATTAGCCTGAATTTTAAGATGAATCCTAGAAAATCACATAATTGGTGATAATTGCACTTTCTGTATTTTATGTTAATCATTATATTTTAAAAATGTTTTGTTATAGAGACTTAATTACATATTTGAAAATCCACTTAATGAGGTCCCAGGACTACACTAATAGAATATGGTTTGTGTGCATTGATAGAGACCTGTGCTCTCTCTATACCACATTTATCTCGGACCTGAACTTAGTCATTTCTGTTTAATTAGGTCTGAAACTTCAAAGCTAGAGACTTTAATCTATTATGAACAGCAACAAAATCACATTTATTCTAAAGAGATGTCATGGAAATCTAAAAGATGAGTTGTTTTGAAACTGTAGGGGTCTGAGGCAGTATTGCAAAATTAGAAAAGGATCAGTGTTTTGTACATTCTGGTAATAAAGACATTATAGTTCCAAAATTTGTAAATCCTTTTCCCTTGGAATTTGTTCTCTATTTTGAAGTCATTTTTTATAATGTTACTAATTTTTTCAGATACTTTGGCAGTAACATTTTTGGAGGTCCAGTAGTTCAGCAAAGTTGTTCAAGCCTGTTAATTAATTGGTTTAAGAAGTAGACTTGGGGAAAATATTCACTTCCTTAAATTACCAGTAAATGTGGATATACTTTGAAGAGCTTAAAAATTGTTTACATTATAGGAAGAAAGAAGTATTAATATGTTTTTACGGAACATAATTTTCCTCCATAAGGAACAATTTGCAGTAGAGGTGCTTGATAAAGACATTTCTCCTTACAGTTCTCAAGTTTTGTCCTCAAATATTTAAAATTCAGTTTTATTTAATCTAAAGACATGAACATATGAATAATAGCAGTGACTATTCAGAGGGAAAAGCATGTAAGGTAATTTTTTAGAATTTAGAATATTTGGAAGTTTGAATTCATGTCGAGTCAATAAGTCACTTTGAAAACCTACAATGACTAAATGTTTCTTACTTTAATGTTTCCATTGTTATGGCAAGATATTTCTGTCACTACAAAAAGCCATGTGTTCAATTTATTTTAAAATTTTGTGATTTGGACATTTGTACAAAAAGTTTTTATTTTTAAATGATAATTTCAAGTTCATGGCAAACTATTAGCACCTATAGACCTGGGGCTGTCTTTAAGAAAGGAATGGAATTGTCAGAGTCCATGTAAATTAATTTGATCAATGTTTTGGTTAATTTGGGACTGTGATTCATACTTTTGTCCTTTAAAACTGAAGTTACCTGTTAAAATGCATATACAGTGAACAACCATTTCACCACTGTTGCTCTTGGCTATTCTCATGTATAATCAAGAATTACTGGAGCAATAAGCATGAACACAAAGTTTTGATGAAGACTGACAAGATTCTAGTTTTTTATTATAATCTCAAAATTCTTTATAAGCATACAGTGGTAAATAGGTTTAGTTCTTAGCCCGATCAGCATAATGCCTCAAAGCTCTATTTCTATTAGACTGTACAATTTAAGAACATGAAGTGTAAGCCATACGTAATTTTACGTTTTCTAGTAAGCATATTTAAAAAGTAAAAAGAAACTGGTGAAAATCATTTCTATTTAACCCAGTATACCTGGTATGTCACCATTTCAACATATAATCACTATAAAACGTTATTTAGGAAATAATGTATTGTTTTTTAACTCTGTCTTTAAAACCAGTGTATATTTATACTTTGGGCACACTTCAGTTTAGGCTAACCACATTCCAGGTTCTCAAGCCACATTTGGATAGTGGCTTCTGTACTAGACAGTGCAGTTCCAGAACTAGCTCTTAAAAAAAAAAAAATGAACACTATCATGTATCCATTAAAACTTTATGAATAAAGGCTTTTTAAAGACTGTTTGAGAGGGGATATGGGAAATACTATTTTTTATGGAAAAAGATACGGGAACTTTTTTTTTTAAAATACAGAAGGAGGTTAAGAAGTAGCTCATTTGGTTTAGTTTATTTTACAGACTAGCTGTATTTCTGATCAATCCAAAAATGTCTTACATTGGATCCTGCCATTTTATCATACTGTATATCATTTTTCTAGTGATACTGATAAGTTGCCCAAGACCCATCCTGACTGGCCTCAACAATCTCCAAAATGTCAGTTTCCTTCACTGAAGCAAATTTGATGATTCCAGTGACTTAAATCCACCCAACCTTATGTAATTGAACTTTGAGAAGACAATTTTAAAGGACTAAAAAGAGACCCTTTTAATTCTTGAGTTCTGTACACACAAGTTCTTTACAATTTTTGGATTTAATTTCCATTCTTAAAAAATGGTAAAATATTTTCAAATACAAAGAGCACTATCAGGTTGTTTTGGGGCTTGATGAAGAACACAAGGTCTAGAACTTTCCACCACCAGCCCCCCCCCCCAGAAAAAGATTGCCTTTTAACTAGAGATGTTTAGAAATAATGGCCTTCAGTTCTATACCCAGTTTCTCCAAAGACATAGTATTAGACTTGCTTGCCTGTCAACGGGGGCATTCCTTGCTCAGCTACTCTAAATAGGTGGGCTCTTCATTTGGGTTAAGTCAGTGCCATTGCCAATAATATACATGGCCATTGACAGTCTTTCAAGAGGTTCAGATTCTTTGCCAAATAGTAGATTCTGTAAAGATTCCTGAGTTTTTTACCTTTGCATGCAAATGTGATTATTGCAGGTACCAGTTCCTGAAAGTCCCATTTCTATAAGAAAAATGATGCAGCTAAAGGGAAAGGTTTTCCTCTATGTCTGATGGAACTCTTGCCTTGTAAGAGCAGTCTCTTACATCTTGCCTTGATTTCTAAGGTTGCATTCTTGGGTGGAAAGCTTAGCAAGGCAGTAGTTTCCAGATACCCTTTATAACCACTCTGCTTGTTATATGCAAAAATGTTCATATTTTGTATAGTGTATATTTTTTTTCTGTTGAGCACTTTATGCTTTTTAGTCTATTGCATTTGAGAAAATATAGTTTAGAAATCCTTATTTAAAGCCATGTAAAAACCGTTCAAAGGGTAATAACCAGAAAAAATGAGTGTGCATTATTTTGCATTTAACTCATTGTTTTGTGGTATATATAAGCAAAATATTAGAAATATATTGCCTTTTTGTAATACTCTTTGACCTTATTTAAGATGATTTGCCAAGAAATGTCACTGATGCCCTATTTTCCTAATGAGTTTATTAAATGTGGGTTTTATTCTAATACTGAAGGAATTCAGCCAGCTTTGTTTCTGTCATCAGATAACCTCAGAAAATAATGTGCTTTATCTATATTACTGTCTGTTTTCCATATTTGAGACAGTAGTGGTCTTATATTTTCTACTGAGCCTAGTAATAATCAGAGACCAAAAGAGGTAATTTTTTTCTTCCTTTAAGGTATTTTTAATAGCCTAATAAAAATGATGGTGGTATAAAAAGTAAATCACCCCACCTTTTTGACCATATCTAAAATTCTGAGTAATTGCCACTTCCAAAAAGTCTTCTCAAAGCAGTCTCTATTGCTTGTGTTATCGCTTGTGTATTCAATGGATGTGGGATCTTAACTTGGTATTATATTAGAAATAGTGCCAGCCACTGGTCTAAATTCTTTGAATATTATTTTATTTCATTGTAAAATGAGGGAATTGATTTGATACAATGGGAAACAACTCAGTTATCGTCAGGATCCTGAAAAAAGTTGCTCCATTCATGGCAGCATTTGGAAAGACTAAAATAATTTGTTCAGGTATGTTGTGTCCTGTTTTGGAGTTAATTTGATTTGTATATGTTGATAGAGGCACTAGATTCTGGATTCTTACCAAGCCAGTAGAATGGTATTAGTTACTCTCTCATAAGGTTATGTTCTTGTCTGTAATAGCCTAGTAGATAAAGTATTATGAGGGGTTTTATATATATATTATTAAAGTGGGTGTGTGTATGTGCACACGCATGGTTGCACACTTTAATCTGTGGGAGTATCTGGAATTTTTATTGTGTTAACTTTTAAATTATGTGGACATTATTATAGTTTTTCCATTGTACAAAAAGAAACATCCTGCTAGATTCATGAATGTTTGAATATTAGATATATTTGGGATTTTTAGTGGTCCTTTAAGCTGTTTCTTCTTTCTGATCATTGTGAGTAGGAACAGATGCGGGATAAACCCCCTCTAGGAATTACTTACTGCTTTTGTCAGACACATTTTGTAGCAAAATTTATAAAACAATTTTAATTACCTCCAGGTGAGTTGAAATATCATGTGTTCTAGCCGTTTACATCAAAGATGAAGACTCAAAATGCTTTTATCCTTAGAATTGTCTGAGAATAATCAGACTGTACATGGTTCTGACATTCCCAGCTTATTATTTAAAATAAATGTAGCAGTGAGTTGATACTGGGACTTCCAAGTACTAAATAGTTGTGCCGAATGATGTGTGTGAGGGGAAATAATTTTTTTTCTTAAAGAAATCTTTATATTCTGGCTCTTTGAGTTGTTAAGAGATTATTTTTCTTTGAAATTTTCAGTCATTTTGCTGCAGCTGCCACTAATTTTGTGTTTAAAAGAACTAATGAATATATTTTTTAAAGGAGTAAATGAAGTTAATATGCAACTGAATTTCTAAGATATTGCTGACTTTTTTTGCTATTAACATCTTTCATTCATTGCATTGCTTACAGTTTCAGTAGCTTCCAAAGAAAACATCTGAGTTTTTACATAATTTGTAAAGTATACATAAGTAATGCAAATAGTTTGAAATTATTTTAGCTTTATGTTGTATCTCTGAATCATGGACATCATACCTGGCGTAATCAGTAGTTATTGCAGATACTAAGTAAGCCATTTTTAAATTTATAATTTTTTTCTGAGATGCCCTTTTTAGTTTGCAATGTTTAGAAACAAAAGGTAACTTTATACACCTAACATCAGTATCTTAGTCTCTTTGTCCCATATATAATTAATGGAATTAGGATGTAAGTCCTATTAAGACAGTTTTATTTTATTTTTATATATTGTATTTTTTCCTTTTTATTTGAACTACATTGAGACTGACTTTTTGACTGAAGTTGAATGGCATTTGTCTTAATCCTGCCCAGTTATTGACCAAATCATATCTAGATGTTTGTATGTTTTAATTTTACTTACACGAGCCATTTCAGTTTAAGTTGCCTTATTCTATCACATTGTTCTTGTCACGTCTAAGCTTTGTCATGTTGGAATTCTTTTAACACTGAATCTGTGATGTAAAAATGTATGATGTGCTACAAATTTTATTCATAATTAACTTATAGCCTATTGTAACCTATAAAACATTTCTTGTAAATTGTCCAGTTTATTTTTTGATTTATGTACATTTTCTTTTGTAAATTTTTCAAAACACTTGTTGTGGCCTGTTGTATAAACATTCCTGTGCTCTTCTTAATGCTTATTTGCATGAAAGAAACTTAGGTTTTGCTTGTTTATATTGGATGGCCATTAAGCCAACTTTGGTACTCTCTGCCTTCTTTCCTGTAGTTTAACTTTTTCTAGTTTTGTTCATATTCTAAATAAATGTTAAAATCATTCTTACTTCCTACTTTCCAAATAAATTCTCTAAGTTGTTTAATATGTGTATCTTTTTATTATTTCATTTTATATATTGTACTCCTGCATTTTCACTCTGAATTAAAGTTGTAATTGAAATTACCTATAATAGAATGTAAACTCTGAGAGCGAGGGCATGGCACAGTCTTAGCTCTCTCCCCAGTAGTTGGCACAGAGAAGGCGTTCAGTAAATAAATACTTGCTGAGTAAATTCACTGTAGAGAAAATGTCCTTACCTAGTCTGCCTCTATAAGATAGAATTACAGTTTTTCTCCACCTTCCTCTTCCCATCATATTCTCGTAGGACTTTCATTTATTAAAATGTTTAAACTTAACTTTTTTTCGAAATGAGGCCATGTTACCCTACACCAGTAATGAATGTCAACAACAGAGGGGGGTTTTCCAAACTCTTGGATATGCTCCACAGGAGATGCCAGAACTTTGTGGTACTTTGGATGTGTTATTTCATACATGCTTCCTCTAAACCAAAACTTCATTTACTTATTTTTAATAGACAATGACTGTTAGCTTTGTTTAAAGAAAAAAAAGGTAAAGAGATGATCTTAATATGTGAGGAATTAATTTGGAAAGTTCGTCTCTATTTTCAAATTGAATGATTGTTGATTCCAGGCATACAGGAATGGTTGACAACATGAAGACTACCAATATGACTCCGGGAAGTACATATCCTTTGTGTTTAAGGGAAGAAAAAAAACCTCCTGGATGCCTGGGTGGTGCAGTCATTTAAGTGGTTAAGTGTCAGACTCTTGGTTTCAGCTCAGGGTTGTAAGATCAAGCCCTGCATTGGGCTCCTCATTGAGCGCTGAGTCTATTTGAGATTCTCTCTCCCTGTCCCTCCCCACCCTTCTCTCTCTCTCTGAAATAATTAAACCTTTAAAAGAAGAAAAATCCAGTAAATAGCAACTAGGATGAAAAAAGTGTGAGATGGTGACTAAGGGGGAAGATGATGAGTTTGGTGTGGAAATACAGATTTGAGGCATAGTTTAGCTCCAAGGATAGAAGTACCACAAGCAATTGGAAATAAGCCACTGAAGAGCAAAAGTAGTTCAAGGCTACACACATAAGTGAGTATCTAAGTGCTTCATTCAAAATTCACTTATTCCAGGAGGGAAAGAGTTCATACTGGATTCTATACACAGAGCTTATACATTTTGAAAGCAAGATGCCTCTTCTCTGTTGACCTGTTCCTCAATTAAGGGTATTGTGTATTGAGCAAACAATGTTTCTGCATCTGAAGTCTGTTGATCACTTCCTATTTTTTTTTAAGATTTTCAAACTATTTTTAAGTAACCCCTACACCCAACATGGGGCTCAAGCTCACAAACCCGAGACCAAGACCAAGAATCACATTCTACCAACCAAGCCAGCCAGATACTTCCTATTACAAAAACTTTGTTTATTTCTATGTTAAGATATTCCTATGCTTCTGGGATTTGAGGTTTTTTGGTTTTTAAGATTTTATTTATTTGACACAGAGGGGACACAAGCAGGGGGAGTGTGAGAGGGAGAAGCAGGCTTTCCGCTGAGCAGGAACCCCGATGTGGGGCTCGATCCCAGGACCCTGGGATCATGACCTGAGCTGAAGGCAGATGCTTACTTAATGAGCCACTCAGGCACCCCATCCTTGAGGGTTTTTTAAAAAGTTCTGCTTTGGGGCACCTGGGTGGCTCAGTTGGTTAAGCGACTGCCTTCGGCTCAGGTCATGATCCTGGAGTCCCGGGATGGAGTCCCACATGGGGCTCCCTGCTCAGTGGGGAGTCTGCTTCTCCCTCTGACCCTCCTCCCTCTCATGCTTTCTGTCTCTCATTCTCTCTCTCTCAAATAAATAAATAAAAT